TATAGATAGGAATGTTGGCCACATCATACGTATTTAGGGGTCTAGCGTTTCGCTGGATAAGCGCGTTCATTTTCCACTTTTCCAGTTCTCCACTGTTTACACTTTGTTGCAGAAAACCTTTAAGTCTGACCTTAAGGCCTTCTGCAGGTTCCCTAATCGTACTTTTGTATGTTGTCTCATCGTATAATGCATCTAACACTTCCTCTACACAATCAGTCCTACTCATGATTACTACTGCTCCTCCTTTGTCTTCCCCTAATGCTAAGTTGTCATTCGCCTTAAGCTTCCTTATAATAGTATTAACTTTCCTATTCTTGTATTATGTTTATACATGGACATCAATTAAAGGGTCAACTTGTGATTTAATGTCACTCTTAGTATCATCTGGGAAACTATCTGTTAAACTTATCAATTCTACAAAAATGTCCTCTGAAGTCCTTAAAATTCGGAAAAGCAAAGTTTAAGCCCTTTGCTCGGACCTGAGTGTCCAATGAAGTTTTGGACAGATTTACTACTGTTTAGCGAAGGCTTTTTTTACCCTTCAATGCATTAGATACGGGTCGTTTTCTTAAATTAATTTTTATACCCTAATTTCTTATCATGTGTTTTTCTAACCTGTCCAAAAACTTTATCATCTAGCCTATCTACTATGTTAGGGGGACTTTCAGTTTGCATGAAAGTGAATGAAGAATAGATTCGTTGGTCGATCTCACCAAATGAGGGCGGATGAGTCTCGTTGTACTGCAGCCGTTTGGCTTTTATACGATATTCATTTTGACGCAGTCCACAAGACTTCCTCCCTCGTTTCGGTAGAAATATTATCTCAGGAGATTCATCGAAACCCAGTTTCTCTTCATATCCCCTATGCTTGGGAGCCTAAGAAAGTCTTCCGAACTAAGAGCCTTGGACAAGATTTGCCAAAGTCGTCTTAGTTATAATTAAGTAATGTAGCTTTGTAATGTTTTCCTTAAGTCTAATATCAACAACACTTCACAAGTCTACTCATGCATGATGAGAGGTTAGATAAATTAGAATGTTAAGCAATTTACTGTATAGCATGCGACGCATTCGAACAAATATATTGACGAAACAGGCATAAAATCAGCATACGAAGCAAAGGACACCAAAAACTTGGCAGGAAAATGGATACCGAAAGATCGGAGTTAACGGAACACATTGCACAGACCGGATACGCGATCAATTGTAAGGCAACTAAAAGAAGCGCCTCATACGATGAAAAAAACAAGGAAGCGGAAGATTAGAAAGGCCATTGACATCATTGGGGGAAAAATTATTAAACGGGAGAAAGAAGGATTGCAGAGTTAGCGATAACCTTGTCTACTGCATACGCAAACTCGGAGTAAATAAGATACGGAAAGACCAGCAAGAAGAGACGCCTGTATCAAAGACATATCCTTAACCAGAGAAAACAAGATCGTGAGAAGGAACGGAGGGAGGAATTCCAGAAATCAGGTGAATCCGACTCAGTAAGTGAAGTCTGCTCGTATAAACCAGTACAACTTTTGGGGCTTATGGTCACGTGATTAGGGGGATGGATAATCACAACTGCAACAGAAATTCGACATAATGGCCAAAATGTACTATAAATCCATTCGAGGCGCAGTATGCGACAAGATATAGGTGTCCACAATTTGCTCAGGTTACATGGCTTTAATCAAGGACACGACCCGTGAAAGCAACGTCTAGTATCTGCAAGCATGGGAATCCGAGCCTTGGCGCTCTACTCGGTGAGGCGGCAGTGTACCTACTTTTAAGTGCTTGAGAAATAGGACCTGGAGTAAAAAGTACCTTAGGATTATAACCAAGTGAAATCAATTAACTAGAAAGATAGGAAACAGACATGTGGGTCCATGAGAGAGATCCGGATATAAGGCCCGAGTCGGATTGGCTAATCAAAAGAGAGGGGAGCTAGGTGAGCAGCTGTTGTGGTGATGTCACACTAAACTTATCAAAAAGGGCCCACATTTTGACGAGTGTACTGCAAGCAGGTTTGAAGTTGTGGTAGGGCGGGAATGTGATAAGACCGTAAGGCGCAGATAGATGGGCCAGAACAGAAATAGGATTGATAGTACAATCGTCTTGGTAGTAAGTTGGTCCAGGAATTGACTTATCTTATCTATGACTCGTTGTAACCTGTTTGTTGTGACTGGGAAAACTTCCTGATGATGCCGAATACGATGCCAGCAAAACGTCTGAGAATGCAGCAACTACACGGTTCAACTCTGGACATTATGATAACTACTATAATAGAGGACTTCGGACAAGGTACGTCCAATTAAATCACTTTGACAACACCATCAAGTTGCACAAATGAGATCAACCCATTTCTTTACTCTAAGATGTTTCATTGCATGTCTTGTATCCTGATAGT